ATTTCTGCTAGCTCGCTAGCTAGCGTTTGCTGTAGCGGCCGTACAACGATGCAATCAAGGATTTCTTCTGCAGGCTGGCGTAGCTTAGCAGATAGATCTAGCGTTCGTGGTTCGTAGAAAAGCTCTTCGTTAAATGTGACGTCTGTTGTTCGTACGACCTTCTGTTCGCTAGGAATCCAGATGCGATAGATGTTTGTTGCTTCATAGCCAACGAGGTACCCTACGTGCGCACGTGGCTGCATTTTGTCGAGCTTTGGAATATTGTATATCAACGGATAGGCCCTACAGCCGTATGCACGTAGGTGCGCGATGTTGGGCCGTGCTGGCGATAGGCCTAGGCAGCGTTGTAGTTCTTCGAACGGTGATCTCCATTCGAATTGCTTTATAGGCGTACGGTTCTTGGCGTATGCTGCAAAACTTAATGCCTCCGGCCATAGCAATTCCGGCAGATTGGCGTGCAGGCGTGCTGCCCTGCCCTTCTCGACAAGCCTGTAGCCTGCTTGTTCTGCTGCGCCATTTGGGGCGGCATTGTGCGGTGGTGATGCTTCGACTGTAATGCCTTCATCGTCTAGAAACTGTGCTAGGGGCCTCGTGATGTCGACTGTAGAAAGTGACGATTCGTTGTCAGTTTTAATGAACTTGACATTGCACCCGTATCGCCTTTTTACCCAGTTCACAAAGCGAATCACTATCCTGGGAAATTCGTCCTTGGTTGTGCAGTTGTATACGTAGTTCATACGCGTACGGTCGTCTAGGAAATGGCCGCAGTACCTGTTATCGTTGTATGCCTCTGCCATATGCACAAAATCAAGGTGGATGCGTTCGAATGGGTGCTCAGCACGTGCAACAGGGCGCCGAGAGGTGATTCTTGTTGCTTTTGCTAGCGAACAAGCTGTGCACTGTACGGTTGACGGGCCTCGTAGGATTGCTCCGTCCAAATTTTTGCCTAAGGCCTCAATAGCATCGGGCCCTGCATGGCCTAGCCGTAGGTGCCAGGTGTTTCCATCTGTCGTGCTGTCAGATCGTTTTGCTGAGCGGCGATTGATGCGATTTGGTGTCGGGCTAGGCGTGGCCGTAGCCACGGGCATAGCCGTGCTCGTAGCCACGGGCGTAGCCGTGCTCGTAGCGATGCCCGTAGGCGTGGCCGTAGGCCCTATGACCCCGGTAGCAGGAAATGCTGCGTGCATTTCAGCGTGCGTTTCTGTCCAGTTGTCCGTTGGTGGAACGTATTCCAAAACCCATTGGTCCTCAATAACGTCGGCGTATGCTAGCATAGTTAGTGTATCACCATCCTTTCGATACAGTCCGTCGTGCTCGCTGGACCAGAAAACACAGTGGTTCTTGAGCATTTTTACGCTGACAAGTGACGTCTGCATAGCTGGGCAGAAGGCAGCTTCAATCAGGGTAAGTTCTGAACCGTTCGAGCAATGTACAATTGCTGATCCGTAGCCTATGATAGGCTGGCGAGTTCCTCCTGCAAACAGGAAGTCCCCCCGTGGCGCCGGGCGCAGCGGCGTGATAAAACGTGACAAGTTGTTGATCACGTGTATAGTGGTGCCAGAGTCTAGCACAACGCTATCTCGAAGATGATAGCCCTGGGAAGTGTTGTAGGATCCTTTTGTAATAGCACCCGAGAATGGCTGTGCTGTGGGGGCAGCCGTAGGCGTAGGCGTGCTAGGCGTGCTAGTCGTAGGTGTGCTAGCCGTAGGTGTGCTAGCCGTAGGCGTGCTAGCCGTGCTGCTGCCCTTGTTTTCTCTGTTGACTGCATTTTGTACAGTTCGTCGTAGCCGCTCGTTTGATGCGAGTTTCTGCTTAATTTCTTGTTCCAGCCCTGGCAGGGGCTTGAAATGCGATGG